AAACCAAAAAATTAGTTAACTAGTTGGCCATATAGACGGGGCAAGACGCGAAAGAGTTCCCCATGTCGTCGATCTGTCTGCATGAACTTTAACACTTTAAACTCGTATGAGTATCATTTCTACACGGAAGTTGTCACTTTTTTTTTTCTTCTTCTTCACATTGCTCGAACTTTTGTCTTTAATTTTTAAGGAAAAACCATCATTGTTTTCCTCCCCAGGTGGTGACACACCAACAAATCACACACTGGGGAGAGGCGCACAATTGCTCAGCAGCCCAGCTAATGTAGCATATTTGTAATTTTTGTCAATTATATCCCTTTTATGTAAAAGAAGTTGAGCTCGAGTAGCAGCTGTTAATAGGTAGGAGAACACCCCCCACCTCCTTGGGTATCTCCATCGAGCTACGAACAGGTGCAGTGTGATGCCCACGAAGGTGCACACAAATGAGGGAATAGCCGCCAAACGGATTAACAGCTTAGAGGAGTTTACCTGACCTAGCGGGAAAAAAAAAAAAAGGGATAAAAAATTTTAAAGCTCTATCTTTTGTGACAAATGTGTATAAGTTCATGTCTACATGTTTGCTTTCCCCCCTCCCGTCCATTGCGCTCAGATTATTGGCGCTACGCCCAACCCATTCTGCCACATTTGCCTCTTTTGTAAGATCTCTGAGAAGGTAGGCAGCACTCACAGTAAGTACCCACTTCGAGGTGCACAATTTGGGGAAATTTCCCGCCCCCCTTATAGATGCCAAAAAAGGCACACCAACGAAATGGATACTTAATTCACTTCCCCACAGACGAATCCCACTTTTCGGAAGAACACAACATTATGGAGCGAAAACAATGCTCCCTTTTTTTTAGAGACTGCTGCAAAGAAAGGAATGACGCACCCCCCCAAAGCAACCATCAGGCGAGTGAACACGATGAGATGTACTACGAAGGAGAAACCAAGCAAGTGTACCAACAGGGGCAAGAAAGACCAGTTATAAACGTAAAAGGAGACCAGCCAGTCTTTAGCATACCAGTATATCAAGACAAGTATATCAGAGATAAAATAATCGAAACGAAAAAATATGAACTCCAAGATGTCCTGCAGCCAAAACATTACACACAAGAAACTAAGCATGACGTGCCAACAGTTGAGTTGCTATTTAAAGAAAGAAAAGTTAACATATCTCAAGAAAAAATGGAAGAAAAAACAGTAGAAGTTGATATGCCTATAGGATATACCCCTGTATTCTCTCCCATTTGGGATGTCCGAGAGATACCTAGGGTCATACCAAAATATCAAGGAGAGCAAAAAGTAATTCAAGTTGAAGTGCCTCAAATTCAATACGTAGACAAATTTGTGGAGAAAGAAATTATCGTTGATGTAAAAGAAAAAATCATTCCTAAAATTACGGAAGTGGAGAAACAGGTTGATATTGTTAAATATGAGTGGAAGGAAACATATCAGGATGTTCCTGTTTGTAAATATGTTCCTAAGATAGATATCGAGTTGGATTGCCCACCGCCTCTCATTGTCCCTTACCCGGAGGTCCACTTTCAGAACATGTCCGAGGTTGTGAACCCTAACCAGCGAGCTGCAGATATCCCCCCGGAGCTACTCCTCAGGAACAGCTCCTTCTTCAAGGGTGGGCATGAAGAGGAAGGCTGCGTAAGGGAGGAGGAGGAAGAAGAGAAGGAGGGGAACGGATACAGCTTTCTCGGAGACCATGCCTTCCAGCACCACGGCGACTATCAACGAGGCCCATACGCGAGCACATCCAACACACACGTGGACGCATTGGTGAAAAAGTCCCTGCTGGATGTCGCACGGCTCAGCTCACAAAACTGCAAAGGTGAGACGCAGCGAAGGATGTCCCAACCGTTAACCCACATGGAACTCAAAAAGAAAAAAAAAAACAACAACTGGCCCTTTTGCAATTTTACCAACTGTAACGAAGTGGAAGAGAAGAAACATTTGGAAGACTGCGACCCCAAGACGGGCTACCCCCTATCCATGCCTAAAGACTTTGCCGCATTTTTTAAAAAGGATCTGAACACGGTTAAGAAGCAAATGGGACAATATATAGATAGCAAATCTACCCAATCTAGTAACCTCATGGAGAGGAGTCCCGTAAATCCTACTATAGAATATCTCGGAAAAATTGACAAACCACCCATTGATGGAGGTAAACTTGATTCTATCTCTTTCAAGTTGCACGCTATCGAAGTGCATCAGTTCATTCCTGTGCCAAGTCTTGCCAAGCCTCAATTTTTGGATCTAGTACCGCCTGAACAGGTTCAGAATAATGATATTTCGTCTCTTCAAAATGTGTTTGGACAAGTTCCCGAGGGATGGGTAGATCCAAACATCACCGGGTTCATTGCGCCCATGATGTACGACGTGTTGCAGGGGAATATCCAGCCGCAAAGTCCTTTATTTAACAAACTCAGTATGATGAAAGACGAGAGGAGAGTCTCCTACCCTTCTGTGCGCGTCGCTGGAGAGAGGGAAAGCACCGATGGGAGCTACAAACGTGGTATGAGTTTGCAACGCGGCGGAGCAGAGGATCCCCTCCCAACCGCCGAACACTACGAGCAGCTTCATATGGCGAATATGCATGGGTCCACGAACAGCTTCGTCCACTACAATACGAATTCGTCGCTCAACTACACCAATGAGAATGAGGAATCGTACGAAACAGTGATGAACTGAGCTGTTGCCAAGTGGAGTTGCAGCAGTAGTTGTTCCCCTATGTTGGCTTATCCCCAATGAGAAGAAGAGGAATAGGAATTAAAAAAAAAACAATCAGTTGTTCCCCACCGATTTTATTTGCCTCCTTTTTATGCAAATTGTGAAGAGCACCTTGTCCGGGTGAGAGAAACGTCGCACCTGTGTCGTCGCCTTTGCCAAATTAGGCCCCCACAACGTTTCGTCATTTCGCCATTTCGCTTTCTCAGAATATACGTGTGGATAGTGCCCTCAATGTGCACCAATGGGACTGATTGAACGAGGTCTTTTTTTTTTTTTTTCCATTTTTTTTTTTCGTCCTCCTTCATGTACGCTATAAAATGAATAAATATTTCCTTCATTCGATTCGCTCGTCCGTTGTCCCGTAGCTCAGACATCAATTGCAATTTTTTTTTTTACAATTTTGTTGTTCCTTGTTTCTCCCCATTTTGTGTTGCTTCTTACAGTTGCGTTTGCGCCGAGGTCCGTCTTCCCCCGCTTCGCGTCAGTCGTGTGCTGGGCCTTACACGCGCATATGCATGCACGCATGGATCTGCACTCGGCTGACGCTGCTTTTTGGCTGTGAAATGTTTGCCTGAGCCTGGGCAGTCCTTTTCAAACGCTACAATTTGGAAAAATTAAAAAAAATGAAAATAAAAAAAATAAAACAAAAAAAAAAACTACAAAAATGTGAGGCCATTGGGGGCAACACGGCGTGATCAGCAAACAGTCGTTCATTTTATTTTATTTTTTTTTTTTTTCCCCGTTTCACAACGAACTGGTGCTATAAATAGGTCACCATTTGGTAGCCCCCTGCCCTCATCCGTGACGCTTAACTTTGAAGAAGGGACATACAGAAGCAGTAGGCCTTCTTTACATATATAGTGTTCCCCCGTGTGAAGGTCCTACCCAGGTTTTATATTTCCCGTTTTTTTTCTTTTTTTTTGTGACGATACAACGCGGGGAAGTCACCCACTTAGGGTGGAAAAAAGGAGGATCCACAAATTCATCTCGATTAAAGTTTCTCCTACATGAAAAAGGTTCCATAGTGTAGAGGGTGCCACTTTTTATAATGTTCCATTGGGGTTTTCATCTGCATCGTGTTTGCACGTGAGAAGGCGTCGACTTATGGAAAATGAAAATGAAGCAGCTGTGTGCAGGTGGAGCTCTAACTGCGTAGAAAGAGATTCGTCCCCTCCGTTAGAGGATTACCCCCACAGTGGACACTCAACCTCTTTTATACAAGAATGTATGTCGACCTGAATTTGAAATTCACATCAGTACAGAAGGCCAAGGCGCTGATAGCGAAGGCACTGAACGTGGGGTTCAGCATCGTAGCAGTGAGTGTACAATATGAGGGAGACAATAAAGCTATTTTATCTGAATCGTATAATGTAGTAAATTGCTTGGTGTGTAGTGAAAAGGTTTCGGAGAAAAGGAGTGAGAACAGCTGCTTTGGGAATTATTTTGTTGACAGACTTGATGAAGAAGAAGAACTACGTGAGCAGCTCGTCCAGATAAGTTGCAACAATGAGGGGAACTACATTTTAGTAAACCGACCAAACACATTAAGCGTTAAAAATATATGTGACGATTTTATAATGCATCGGTATCACCAAGTGCCGACGGAGGAACAGCTGGATAGATTAAAGGATCAGTTAATGAGTACCAGCGGTATGTCGAGTATCCGTCGAGGTCTCATCCTCACCAACAATACAAACACGTATGTACTGAAGAGACTTAATATAGAATATAAATACGCAGTCAGGATGGAGAACTACAGCAAGTTTGTAAAAGACAGCAATTTCGACATTGTCGCCATCGAAGTTAGCTCAGTCGAGGACATAAATCTTGTCGCCATGAAATTTGACTGTGACATCATATTTTTCAGCAAGAACACATCCTTTGCACAAATGAAAAAATCCGATGTGCAAAGTGCACTAGATAGGGGGATCTTCTTCGAAATATCTTCCCTTACCACCCCAAGTGAGGACTCCCATTATTATCACTTGGCTTTAAATATTTCTAGCATCTTTTCGATCGTCCCCTTTGGCAGAATCATCATTTCCTCAGGGGCCTTCACAGACCTGGAGATCGTAGAACCCCTCAATTTGCTGCGACTCTTTTTTAACTTCCACAAATTTTCCTACAAGGACCTAATCGGCTGCCTCACCACCGCACCCATTGCCTGTCTGCAGCGGGCCTCCGTGCGCAAATCACTCAACACGGCGGTGTTTCAGAGGTAGCGGAAAGGGGGGGCAGACGAGAAGCATAGACGAGAAGCAGAGGTATCTCTTCCTCCCCCCAAAGACCGGTCGAGGGGGGAACACCCCATTTTACCCATAATCAAATGGGCATCCGTTAGCTTCTCCCTCCCCGACCGCCAAAGCGATTTTTTTTTTTTTATTTTTAACCGCGATAATTTGTTTTTTTTAACCATGCAACTTAGCTATTATTTGTGCTCCTTTTTCACGCATAAGTACACATTTTTATGTTTGCCCAACGGGTATCTGCCAGATGGTGTAGAACATCCTCTCACGAGGACTCCAAAAAAAAAGGGGGAAACCCTCCCGAACAAATCGGCAAAGAGCGTTAAAATGTTCACACGGCTGCGGTTACCAGCGGAATGGTAACTGCGCGAATCTGTTGCACGCTCGGAAGAGGGCGAAAATGGGGTGTTCCTTTGCAACTGGAAAGAATTAAGCAAATGAAGGGAATGATGCTGCAGGGGAAGAATTTCACTTTTGGAGAGTGCAGAAATTAATTAAAAAAACATATGTAATTTTTTTCTTTAAATAAAAAATTAATTATTTGAATTTTCCATATGCTAAAAGAAATTTTTTTACATACGACAGCTGCAGGATTCGAACCTGCGCAAGCATAGCTCATTGGATTTCAAGTCCAACCCCTTAACCACTCGGGCAAACTGTCATAATATATTTATACGTCGTTACTGGGGGAGATTCGCACTATGCATCCCGTTACCCATGTTGTAGGGATGTTGAGTCATTTCGGGAGTCTCCCCTTTCATGTTTTTCAGCATTTTGGCTTCTTCCTCGTAGTTCTTCAGGCTTATTCACATTCCTTCTCCGTTTTTCACCCCTTTTCACCGCTCTTCCTATTTGCTTCTTCCAAACGATGGTAACTGCTCACGAATAGGGGCGCCAATCGATCCACAAACTCCCTTACCTTCTTGCAATGCAGCGCAAAATAATATACATATACACACCCTGCAGGCGTGAATGCAAATGCACCTCGGTAATAGGCACGCCTCCACCTTCGGAAGTGACACTGCATCCCGTGTAACCTGTTGCCTGATTTGAATTAAATTTTTTTTTTTTTTTTTTTTTTTTTTAGTTGCTTGATCAGGCGAATCGTTTTTTTCTCTCGCCTTTCTCTGCAGAAGCGGCTCAAGCAAATACACGAAGGAAGGAAGCAAGAATAGTGGCCTGTTGTTTACGCTGAGGAGAATAGTTAGGCCGAACGAAAGGACGAAAGCGCCTCGCAGCGGCGGAAACGGGAGACGCAAAAGGGGGTCACCACATCTTCGCGCTCCACAAAGAATGTAAACGCACAGGCTGCAGGATGAGCAACCAAACGGCGAGCATACCCATTGGAGAAAGCGCACATCGAATGGCACGTAAAAGTGCGGACTCGACACATCACTACATTTCCGTTGCAGAAAATCGCCAGAGTTCCTTTAAAAATTTTGAAACCGCTCTTTTGCTAAACATAGAAGAGAAGTGCATAAACCTGTGCAGGAATACAATCCGGGGAAAACCACATTTGCTGAACTTTCCGCAGACATAGCAGATTGTAATAAGCCTCCCCATTTGTAACAGTTTGCCACCCACACTCGGTGGACGCAACCCAGGAATATGAGAAACTTCATCGCGGCCAACATCAGCCGGTGTAGACTGTTCAGGACAACATGCAGGGGCGGAGTAGACAGGAGAGGGAACCGATCCACTCGGGGATTCGCCTCCATTCGCGGGGAGGAAAAATATCGGGATCGACTCGTGAGCTGCGAAGAGGGGGGCTCCACCCCAAAGGAGAAACAGAATCACGGAGGGAACTTCATTGCAGATGAGGACACCACACAAAATGATGAACACAACAAAGCTCACTACGCCGCGGGAAACGATCCTCTTGATGCCACTTCCACGTCCGATTCGTTACACCTGCAAAAGCAGAGAGACTTCCTGCACAAAATTGACGAAGAAGACTTCGCCCCGCAGGAGCATAGCACCGTCAGAATATTCAAGCAAAGGGACGCAGAGGCTGACTCGGACTTTCTCCCGTGCAATGATAAATACAACAACCTCGTTAAGAAGTACAACGAGCAAAAGGAACTCGCAAAGGGGGGGTCCAAGACGAAGAAGAGTCTCCGATTTGGACAAACTGGTCTACCTCTGCAGGACGACGAAAGGAGTCTGTGGGAAATTTTGAAGGAGAAGGAGGATTACTTAAGGAACAAAAAAAAAATGAAGAATTATCAAAAGGAGCTGGATCACAAAATGAGCAGAGAGTATCAAAAGGTTAAAAAGGAGGAGGAGTATATGCACTCGGTGGGGGGTGGCGCAAGTAACGGAAATAGCGGAAATAGCCGAGTGCATAATAGGGGCGGGCGTAGAGGTCCTCTTTCCGACCCAATTTCCTCTCCCCATGATGACATCGACCGGTTCCTGTCAGGCGACGAGGCCTACACAAATGAAATAAAATCGTATGACGAAATTTACACCGACTCGCCCCTGCACAGGGGAAAAGCGAAACGCAGGGGCATAACGGACAAAGAGGATAAAGAGGATAAGAAGCACAAAGAGGACGAAGAAGACAAAGAAGATAAGAGGGATAAGGAGCACCACAACCTTGGCGCCCAAGAAGACGAAGTAGCTCAGCAGGACACCAACGAGTTGAATATAAACAAAATGATACATGAGGATCTGACGCGGAGCGCCCTCTCGTGTGACCTGAACGCGCGCTACGCTGAACTGAGGAAGAAGAAGGTGGTGAGCGAATTTTTGGTGGACGATTTGGACGTGAAGGGGGAGGGCGACTCTGCGGCTTCTGGGAGGGACTCCCTTTTCGTGAACGAGGTGGAAGACATCACGGCGAGGAGGTGCATTGGGGAGATATCCAAGGGAGGCGGCTACCAGGGGGAGGGCTACCAACACAGTGAAGACGTTCTGACAGCTGGACAAGCCAACCAAGCGGCGAAGGAACCTCCACCCAGCGACTGCACCGTCGTCGTGACCCCTGCAGACGCTGTGGAGCGGCTGAGCGGGCAGAGCCTCAGCACCATCATCGACGGAAATATAGACAACTTGATCATCCAGAGGGAAATCAAAAAGGAGAAAACAGCCATGGGAATAATGACCGTGCTGTATAACAACCTACACAGATGCGACAACATAAATCTCAGCAGTGCCATTATGAAGATGTCAAAGGTGATGGATTCCTATCAGAAGGGGAGCGTCACGAAGAACTACATGTACCTCAATGTGATGAAAAGGATAAATGAGAAATTGCCCAATTTCGAAATGTCCAATCTGGTGCAGATATTTTATGCCTTCGTAAAGATGGAGCACTTCCCCTACTTCTTCAACGACGTAATAAATTACATGAGCGTGAAATTGAACGAGGCCGAGCCAAAGCATGTGTGCAGCATTTTGTACACTCTGAGTAACATCCTTGTGGAGACAAACGAGAGTCGAACCTTCAAAATGAAGGTCATCGATATGGTGAAGTCGGACATATTAGCGAAAGGGACGAATCTGCACTTGAACGATGCCATATCTTTACTGACTTCCCTGTCAAAATTGAAGTACAAAGAGGTGAACACTTACTACGAGCTGTCCAAGCGGATTGAGGAAAACGTGGACCAGCTAAATATGAAAAATGTGAGCAACATCTTATGGGCCTTCAGTCATATCAATTATACCTCCAATCTGGTAAAGAGGTTAAAAAAAATCGTGGAAAGAGACATACACAAAGCAGACCACCTTGATTTGGTGAACATAGTCTACTCACTGACGAAGCTGAACGAATATGATGAGTACCTCTATATGGATATCTTCTACAATGCTATTAATGTGTACTTACACCACATGAGTGTGAAAAATCTGTGCATCATATTGTGGTCCTATACCTATGTAAATGCAGACAAACCCGATCTGTACATAAACATACTCACAAAGCTGAATGAGAATGTGAAGCAAATCAGCACAAAGGATATTGTTTCCATTCTGACCTGCCTCAGTAGAATACAGTTCAGTTATAAATACAAACATCTGTTCTCTTTTTTAAAAAATAAGGTTGTGAAAAATCTGTATGCCTTCTCCCCTTTACAGATCACCAATGTGATGTACCATTCGTCCTTCCTCGAAATATATGACCATAAATTTTACTACCTCCTCGTTCAGCAGATCTTTCAAATTAGACATCTGCTTTATTTGGAAAATTTGACTCTCATTCTGTATGCCCTCAAAAATGTGTGCTACTTGAATGTGCACCATGTGGACGTCTTCCGATTAATTGCACACATCCTTCAGAATGTCAAGAGGAAATATAAGCTCCTCTGTGGAGAGGACTGCGTCAACATCATGCTGATTATTAACGATCTGGCCAAATACGCCCAACAGGGGTACCTCGTCTGTCCCTCTCCCCCAACGGGGAGTGCAGCGACTGAGGTGCCGTCATCAATGTTAGGCTCCTCCTTTTTGATTCCCCCCCAAGGAGAGACTGCCTCCCCAAATCGATACATAGACATATTTGATGAGAACGTAAATCTGACCGGATTGCCTCCCCACCTTATGAGCAACAACGAGGAAGAAGTGTACCTGCCACATATTAGCGACCTCCTCTACGAACAAATCAAACTTCGCCTGCACAACTTCTGGCAGCTCAGCATTAAAGACGTAAACAATTTGTTAATCATCATGAGGGATAAACGCATGCACGATGATGTCATTTTAAATATGATCATGCGACAGATTATTCCCATCCTATCCAAAAGCACAAACATGGAGTTCCTAATCTTTTTAAGCAACATTACGGCTAGTAGGTATATGAAGTTTGTAGCTCTCACACACATGTCCAGGAGGCCCAAGCTCATTGGCCTATTCAAAAAAAAAATCAACTCCATAACGAGTGGTATACTAAATAGCTACGAAGGGGAAGGGGAGGGAGACTCGTTTGGTTCTTCCCTGAATGGGGAAGACGGTGATGACCCCCCCGAGCAGCGCACCTTACTTACCATGCGGTGCGAAGCACTGGGAGGGGATAGTATGCCAAGTTTGGGAGATGGTGACCCAAATATACAATCGGGGGGAGATGTAAATCCTAATGCACACCAAGGGGGGGAAAATGTAAATCCTAATGCGCTTGAAACCGGGGACCCCCCAAACCGAGTCGAATCCAAAATGGAAAGTACGCCAACCGGCTACATTTCTCGTAGCCCCAGCACGGTGGTCGACCTCAACAGTTGCATTGCCCTCTGCTACGCCTGCTTCAACATTCACTACGAGGACGACAACATACTCAAGTTATACGACTTAGTGGAACACATGATTGTGCAGGAGAAAAGGCCAATCTGCTCCTTCATGCTAATCAATTTCGTCTACATTTTGGCGCTCACAAACAATAAGATGGCTCTGGTAGGTAGACTTTCGCGGGAATATATGCACCACAGGTATGCAAGCGATCTGGAAAAGAGGTGCGAAGAATTGGGATCACTGCAGAGCTCGTTCACCATACTTCGAGATGAACGAAATGCATCTAATCCATCATCGAGGAATCGATTCGTGAGGACCCCCCAACATCACAACACAGAAACATCCTTTAACCTGCTTTACGAAGAAAATGACAAATTACGCTCCTACCTCCAGAAGGGGGACGAAGAGGCCTGCTTACTACTGCTAAAAATGGCCTACGTTAACATTCTCATAAATATGTACCATTACCTGTACCAGCTGATGAGTGAAATCTGCAGCTACTCTGACGAGATTTACACACATGAGTTTATCATGCTCGCGAAGCAAGTCTGCTACCACGTCTACAATTTTGTCGATTTTTTCTCCAAAGATAAGGAGGCCAAGTATGTCTGGAATAAGGTCGCGCCAAATGTGTACATAAATGAGAACAGCATCTACCTCGACTTGGATTACGAACCATCCGCTGTGAACGTGCAGATAACTCCTCTGCAAAGGGACAGAAAATTGGATACACACAGGATGGAGCAGACAGCACAAGCCAGCGCACCGCCTCAGAACCCCAAAATAGCCAAATCGTTTGACAACAATCTTAAGATTTCCAAGTTTTTTTACCACGTCCTAAATTATAACGTGGACGATGTAAGCATCCGAAATGCCAACTGTGCCTCCTCCCGGGAGGAGAGGAAGAAGATCAAGATGTTCCACTTCGACCACGTCATATGCGACATCCTCAAATTTGTAAGTGACCCCCGTGTTGCCGAGCGTGTGTCTATGTGTACTACATGTCTCCATGTCTACTACGTGTGTAATCATTGTCCACTCTTTTCCGCTCCTTTCCTATCCTTCCACATGCATACCCTCTTTCACCCCTCCTCACAGCTGAACGTACAATACAAGGGATCCTACACGCATGAAAACATTTACAAAGTGTGCTGCTCCTTTCCATACGAAAGGCATTTAATTGATTTAATGTCATATGAGGTAAACGAGAATGAGGGAAGACGCCCCGCCATTGTGGGAACCATGCGACGTTTTTTCTTATCACGTGTAGCTATGCCAGCGCACCTTTCGGGGCATGCGCATAGTGGGGAAAATGCGCAGTGTAAAGTGTAACTTTTCCCTAATGTATCCTTTTGCCATTTTTTTGTAATGTTTCGTGATTTTCTTTTCTTTTTATTTTCCCTCCTTCCTAGGATGTCCTTTACCCGTCGCACAGGCCGTTACTTTCAGCGGAGCTGCGTCAGAAGCAGCTGGCCCTGAAGGGTAATGTCGGAATGTCGCCCTTTAGCACTTGGCACATAAATAAAACAGCACATTTTCGCGCATTGAGCTGTTTTTTTTTTTTTACGCCTACTCTCAAATTTTACCATTACGCTGCTTCTGTGCAGTTGCGGGTGCGACTCTTTCGATTTCCTTTTACATTTCTGCTTCGCCCCTTCACCGCGCAGGCTGGACCGTGCACGCAATCAATTTTCGAGACCTGTACAACAGCGTAAAGGACAAAAATGTCATCTGCTACATCTTCAATATTGTGAAGAAGATAAAAAACGATTTGAAAGAGTTGCCCGATGATGAGAAAAAACTGGAGGAAAAAAACTTCTGGGAAAACTTGCAGTATGCCAATATTTAGCTGGCGTAGACGGATCGAACTTTTTCTTTTGGAGGGGGGGGGGAAATGCACCTGCACACGTGAAATGTGCAAGAGAGTCGCTCAACTGGGCTATGCCCACCCTTTCGTACATTCCTACCTTCACTTGGTAAACCGCCAGTGAGCCACACGAACGATAATCACATAACATTTTGGTCGTTGACTTTTTTTGCAAAACACACACGAAATTTTTTTTTAAGCTTTAAAAGTATTCGTTTTGATATGTAAAAACACACCCTCTATATAAAAACCGCAATAGGGTAGAAACTCCAATTGGTAATAATGGAAATAAAAGGAAAACTGTCGCTTTGGAGAGTTACATTTTTTGGAAGGGGAATCGAGTCACTCCCAATTTATGTGTGACTATGCTGCGCGAAGTAGGCCTGCCACGAAATGGCAAGGTAAGATGCCGTTAGCCAAAATTTATTCTGGTGGTAGGTTGAACGACTAGCTAAAATGAATTTTTTTTTATTTTTTTTCTTCTTCTTCCCGTTCAGGAAAAAATCAAATTTGCAAAAATAACTCTACATATTCGCATAGACGTGTAGACCATTTTCGACCTGAAAAATATGCATAATCTTTAAAATGGAATCCCCATTTTTTTCCTTTCTTCCACGTGGTGCATCATTAATATGCGAGAAGAGAAAGGAACAATAGAGCTAGAGTACTCCCACCTAAATATTATGCAAAAAATGGTGGAGTGAAATGTGCCCCCCAAAAAAATTTACATACTAGGCAGAATAACAGTTGTGTTATAAATAGAAAATCACCTGACTTATTCATGTAAAAATTGGCCAATCATTTAAAAGAAAAATATGGCAATGTTGCAACAGCGACGGGGAAAGGATCACATAAATATTTTGTGCGTATAGATGTGCTCTGCATATGTATACGTAGTACATAATATACACGTGCATACTTATGCAATAGTTTGCAGAGGGTATTTTACCCTAAACTGTTGACAAATTCGACACTTTAAAACCTTTCCGGGCAATACATTATACCAGCTTCGTTCTCGTTCGCATTTACACTCCTCTTAGAGGGTTAAAAATACAGTTTTTATCATTTGTTACAGCTTTCCACCTTTGTAAGCATAGTTGCTAAGTTGGGGGAAGGCAGCTGCACCGCCCTCTGGAATTTTTTTCTTTTTTCTCCTATAAAATGCATACGCAAAAAAAAAAGTGGCTGCAATATTTTCGTAAAACGACTCGTAAAAGAGTGTTCGCCGACACGGATATACATACGAATGGGGCGTTGTAACTTTCTTTAACAATACACATTGTATGGACCTTTTTGAGAACTGCAAAAAATTTAGCTGAAGGTGAAGGTGACGTGGGTCGAACCGATCGGCGTGTTTTGTAGTGAAATATGAATTATTCAGCAAGTCGTGCACTACGCTGGCGTGTATTTCAACGCGCCCTTTTTTTAACATATGCCTGTGCGAGAATCCGCATGGTATAATACTCTTCCACCACGTTCGTACTGCACTGCAATACACTTCCAACGCGAGTTCAATGCGAATCCGTTCCAGCGTGATTGCAGGTCAAAACGCGTTCGCGATACCCCTTTTTTGCCTCCCCAGTGATTTAAACCAGCGCGCTCGGAATAAAAACAAATCCACAGGGAAGGAATTTAAATTTTTCATCTTCAGCAGTTTAAGAATAAAAACCCAAAGGAAACAAAAACGCAGCAGCATGTATATGTATACATATATAAATGAACACAGTCGTACCATTGTATACATGTACATATATACGTACGTAGTAGGTACGTTACTTTCTACGCATCTCTCCGTCAATCCATCCGTACAATTCAATACAGTGATCGGCTCGAACGGACCACAGCCTTTTTACTTTTTGAGAATTTGAGTACTCCGCCACCGCTTGTTCTTTGTTTCCCTTTCTACATGTGATAAACTCTCTCCCCCCTACAACAACCTTGCAAAAATAATTAAGTTTATTTAGCAAAAGGGATCACACTGCATGTGTCAATTCGTGTATATTATTTTGTACAGCATTTGTATAGCATTTGGATACCTTCTGCATACCTGCTGTATCGTTTACCTTGTGTATATCATTTTGCATACCTTTTGTTTTACCCCCCTTCTTTTAATTTTCCCTGTTTTATATGTTTGTCCCCCTCCCAATAGCTAAAGGATTATTAAACCACAACACTGACATTTCGTACCATTCCCGCAAGTCAGGAATACTTGGGTAGCCAATTAGGCACAGTTGCGAATCAGTAGCCACGTTTAAAAACGAATCGCTGCACTTCACGCTTGACGCCGTATACCAAACCCCCCTCCCAAGCTACTTACCCACTGCCGCCGTCTCCAGGCATACACATATAGAAGGAAGTTCCTACGAAGCAAAATGCATGACGATAGAGTAAACTCCAAAGATGAAATTTCCTTGAGCTCCTCCTGTGAAGAAAATGACGAAAATAAAAACATTTTAAACCCACCAAACAGGACAAAGATGAGCAAGGGGGAAAGAAGGGCCAGGAAGATGCTCGTCAAGCTTGGCTTAAAGGCAATCCCCAATGTGCACAAAATCATTATAAAAAAGTCACAAAAAATGATTTTTGCCGTATCCAATGTGGAGGTGTACAAAGTCGACGGCACCGAATCGTACGTCATTTTTGGAGACGCCAAGACGGATGACATCACCAACTCGATCAACAGTAATGCGCGAGCATATTATATGCAAATAAATATGTATACACTTTTGTGCGTTTTTTTTTTTCCATTTACACACGTTCATACGTATTTATTGCCCGACTTGTTCGCTTCTACCCCGTGTGCACTCACCAGTGTCGTCACGATGGGTTGCCGTTGGGTTGTCCATCATCCCCGCTGGGGAGAAGGAAAAATTGCGTAATCTGCTTGCAGAGGTGTAGCGAGACGATATACCCAGTATATTTACCCCTCTTCATCACTTACGCTTTTTTTTTTTTTTCTTCTTCTTCCTCCCCTAACAGGTCTCCTGCCAGATAGCCTCCCGAAGGACGGTGACATGATGGATGAACAGGAGGTAAATTTCGAGACCCCCGAAAAATCGAACGAAAAAGTTCAGGACTTAGACGAAGGTAAGCAATTTTTTCGCCCACTCTGCAGTTTTTCCGTGTGCATACAAACATTTTTGTGCGTCCAAAAATAAAGAAAAGACGCTATGCATTTGCTGCAATGTGCCCTGCAATGTACGCTGCGATGTACCCTGCGATGTACCCTGCGATATGGGTACGCACATTTGTACGCCATGCTCACGCCGTGCGCCCCCCCAACTTGCAGGAAAAGCGGGAGACGTTTCGATGGACGACATTGAGTTAATTATGTCGCAAACGAAGTGCACGCGTGAAAGAGCAATCGAAGTGCTGAAGAAGAATAATAACGATTTGGTGGAGTCAATCATGGAGTTGAGCGGTTAGGCGGTTAGGCGTTTAGACGGCTAAGCAATCAAGCGGTTTAGCCGCTAAGAGGTTATCGGCCGAGCGGATGACAAGTAGATCCAAACTGGGTATATGAGCGTGTAGGTACATGCGCTTGTGTATGTACGTACCACATGCCGTTTCCCACGTAAAGTACTTTTTTTTTTTTTTTTTTTTTTTGCCCCTTTCCACGAGCCCTCCTGTCCCCGCTTTTTAACACTTGCCCCAGTTTATATATGTACCTATATATGGATCACGCCTCCTGCACATATGTGTATTATCTGTTTAAATTCCCCATGTGTATAAGTGCAGACCGGACGCATCACTACGCGCATGACTATACTTAGATTTATGACCACACGTATGACTACACGAATGAGCAGCTTCAGGAACACGTTTCAATTTTTCCCCCTTTTTAAAAAAACAAATTGTGAATCCCCCTTCCCATCAACTGAATTTATCCCACCTAGCCCATAAAAGAGTGTACATATTGGGTACTCCGCACGGGGCAAATTTCGCGCGTGGCATTTACGCGAGCCGATCAAGACGATGGCACGGATGTCCCCCTAAGGTCGATTATACAACGGGGTAGTTTTTCCAGGCAAAGGTTTTTTTTTTTTTTTTTTTCTTTTTTTGGATCCTCGATGCGGTGATGTCTAAGCGGGAGAGAAGTGTTCACCCCGGAAATGGCCGTTCCGTTTGAAAGGAAGGAGTAGAAAGACACGAGAAAAATCAATGCAGAGGAGAGGTATGCACTGTGAAAAAAAAAAAAAAGGAGGGGGAAAAAAGGTATGCCCATACGTGGAGAAGACACAATATCGTATTCGCACGTAAGGCGGGCATCCTTTTCCAGCGCGAACCCCTTGCTACTATTTCCAGAAGGAGCGAAGCAGGCCCCTAATCCCGGAGGACTTTTCCTCCTCCTTGTGTGCGTTCGGGTTGAGCAAAACGGAGTCGCGATACAACTGCACCATGTCAATGCGCAGGGGGTCCATGCACATTTGGGTCATTTTCTGTTCAAAAAAGGAATTGTCCACAGAAAACAATTTCTGATTGGACGGCACGCATTTGGTTTTCACCTGCAAAGCGTAGATGGACAAATGGCGGAAGTAATATTTCTCATTGACCAGCGAAATAACGTCCTGTAGTCGGTTAAAGAGAATCGTAATTCGCAGCAAAGCTTCATTGTGTATCATTTGAATTTGTTTCACTTTTGTGTACACATAATTTCTCGTTTTAACTAAATCGAAGAGCACGTGTGCCTCTGCATTTTTCCCAGCGACTGCATAGTGACAAGCAAGACAAAAAGATTTGACATTTTTAATTATCTGTAAGATGTTAATAAAAATTTCGTCATTATGTTTTAATTTGTTCAATTCATCGATGTTCTGCTTCAATATATCAGCGTATCGAATTCCTGTGTGTAAAAGGGGCATCTCTTCGATGATGTCTCCAAAATTTTTTTTATTTCCAAGGGGGAAATTTTTCAAATGGCTAGCTGAGTATATGGAAAATAAAAACTTCATCAGAACAAGGAGAGTGCGTTCTGTGTCTGCATATAACTTTTCACAAGAGAGGTACTGTTCTATGTGGTTCCAAATTTTCTCCATCATTCTGTCGTCTTCATCGAGATGGCTTCCCCCACCCTGTTGGCTACCACTGGTAGAGGCCTTCTTATTCCCCCCCGTTGATTTGATTAACTGTTCGTGAATGATTGTCAAGCATTCGTAGTACTTTGCGAATGCCTGTCCATAATTATGCACGATAAAATTGGATTGATATGAATTTAAAAATTTAAAAAGAGGAACCTCTTCTTTGTTTACACACGACATGGCTTCTCTCAAATTTGTATCTTCATTCAGCTTTGCTATTTCTTCCATTGGGATTACATTTTTCACGTTATCCAGGGCATTTTTTATTTTGAGCAAACTCGAGTAATCTCCCTGGTTGGATTCCCCATTTCCCTTCAGTTCATAAGTACTATGCTCAATTTTTATCTGCACTGTATTTTCGCTCATAAATATTTCCAGTTTTCTATACGTTGATATGTCCTTACTCACGTCCGTAATTTCCCTGATGGATGATTTTTTTTTGCTCTCTCTTATGTGTAACTCTTCGTCAGGTAATTTCTCATCGAAGGTGCTTAATCTGTTTTTCTTCAAATTGTACAGGCAAATGCGCTCAAATGAGTAAATGACGGAGAGGAAGTAGTCAAACGTTTCGTCGATTCGTCTCTCCGCTTCTATCAGTAGGTTCCCTTTGCTGTTCATGAGTGTGTTCTCGGCGAGGTCATCTTGAGTATGTTGGCTGGCGCGGCTTTGTTTGCGCTCTTGGGGGGACTCACCTCCCTCCGCTTCTCCAGCGTCGTCTTCTTCTTTGTCCTCTTCGTGTTCTTCTCCTCCTCCATCACCTTTTTTTCCTTCCCCGATTGAACGCGCCCCCTCCACGATCTCATTAAGCATGGCCCTTTTGACCAGCTTCACCAGTTTGGTGAATTCCCCCACTTTCGATACGCCCTCTTCAAATTTCTTCCTTTCTAAGAGGTACGCCACCTGCACGTAAGCACTGTAGCACTTGATCTGCAACTCGGTGTTCTTATCCACAGCGGATCCAACGGAGTGACTCATAAATTTCACTTTATCCATAGCCCTCTTCACTCTCCTCAAATAACAATAAGTCGATCTGTACGGTATTTTTAAATTATTCACATCCGTCTTGATTTTTATGTACCTACATCGACATGCCTCCACATCAAGTAGCAACAACTCAAGGTATTTTCCATCAACATTATCTGTTTCGTACAATCTCGTTATGTATTTATTTCCCACTTTTTTCATTTTATATAGAACCTTCCCTTTTAATTTGGCTCTCCTTCTTTTAACGTAGAGGAGGAATCTTTCCATGTCCTCTTCGTATAGCCCGTACTTTGCATACACCTTATGTAGGTAGGAAAAAATGTCAAATGAGATTTTGCTTCCCTTGTCCGGCTTCCCCATGGCTGTGTTATTCTTCGGTTGCTTCGCATTGGCCGCGCTCTTCCCGAGCTCCCCTTCTTCGCCGTTCACCGCATCCCCACACCCATCCGCTGTGTTGCAGTCTGCCATTCTGAACGCGCCACTGGGGGGATGGGCAAGCTAAAAAGTGATCAGCAAAGGAAGAGTGACGAGTGGCAAAAAAATGGTGATGATCCTCCCTTCGTGGCCAGTTGTGCCCCTCGCCTGACGGTCACGAAAAAAAAGTTATCATACAATTCACACCCGCCTGGGTACACGTTTCCTTTTTATGCCTTACGCACTAGCGTGGCTTTCCTCTTTGTTGCCTCTCCCGTTGCGTAAAGGTCGCGTTCCAATGGCGCTTCTTGGGAGGGGATTTCTCATCCATGTTTCCCCCGCGGTGCGCATCCGTGGTCGCGGGAGGGCAAGTCACTGGGCGCAGAAATCAAGCCACACGGAGGAAGTTAGCCCCAAGTGGATGACAGCGGCTAACCCAGTGGATGGCATCGGCTAACCCAGTGGATGGCAGCGGCTAACCCAGTGGATGGCAAGCGGCTAACCCAGTGGATGGCAAGCGGCTAACCCAGTGGATGGCAAGCGGCTAACCCAGTGGATGGCAAGC